CAGAATAATGAATAGAGCTGTAAAAGATTCTAAAATGACTAAGAAAGCTGTAGAATGAAATTAATGTCTAGAGCTGATCATATTTGAACAGTGGTTATCAAATATAAAGGCAGACAACTTGAAAAAATATATAATGCAAATAGATACTTACAGGATATTATTCATCATTTAATGACATCTAGTTCATAGACTTCCTGAAATATTGAATTAAATATCTAAAAATACATTTTGATGAATAGTTTGTAGTATTAACCTTACACTGTAGAAGTTATTATTGTACCTAAAACATAAAAAATTGTCAATATAACAAATGATTCTGAACGTTTGAACACTTCTACTTTCATTTTAAGACTTCAAGGGGAATTCCATCAATTTTTCATTAAGTGGTTTGATGCAAAATGGAGACTCTGATTCTGATCTTTACAGTGGTGGTGATATGAATCAGGGCTTGTGACATCTGCAACATAAATACAGCCACTTGATTTACTATCCAAAACCACCAGTGAACCCACACTAGTCTTCTGAGTAATATATGTAATGCTGATGATGTTAAAATAATGGTAAATCTGAAAGATTAGGGCTTATTTGGGTACTATGCTGTGGTGTCTAACTAAAATTTTCTCATAAACATCAGGCAGTGAATTCATAACCATTTTATTTAATAATGTTCTGTGAGGGAGCTTTTAGACACAGACGTCTGGTTTCACCCCTACTGTGAACAATTCACACTTAGTAAGTTTCTCTAAAATGGAGCTTTTTACACCAAACCCCTCTCAGTGACTTCTCCATCTGTAACATTTAATTACGCAGAAAATTATGAAAGTTGATGGATTTCCCTTTTAAGCACTAGACCACATGAGTCGTTTACCTTAAACTAACACACTGTTTGGGTTTTATTACAATGTTTTTATTATAAATAGTAGTATTAGTAAATATCTACAGATGAAAGAGACTCTCTGAACACTTGGGACAGGTGCTCAGGCATGCTCAGATAAACAATATGAAAATTGGGGTCATCTCATGTTAAAAAAGCACAATGGTTCCAATGAAAGGAAGCTGAAGTGTTTGAGCTGAAAGGTTACGGAGTCCCACCATGGGGTCTGTCCTACATATGTATGACCAGCAGCCTGGGGGACACTTCAAAGGCTGACCACCGTGCGTCCCTCTGAGGGTTGACTTACCCGTTAATAAAGGCCTGTATCTCTCTCAGCGCTGATATGAGGGTAATTGAATCATCCTCTGGGGCTCGGCCTGTTATCCGCCTGGTTTTGTGTGGAAGCAGTGAGGATGAAATGGCCATGGGGGGCTGTGGGGGTCTCTGAGTGAGGCTGAAGGCAGGAGGCTGCTGTAGCTCCCCAATCACACCAGAAAGCCGAGAGGGGAATCAGCTCTAACAATAGGAATGTATATGAGCCCAACAACTCTAAATGAACTGAAACTGTTCACATGCAAAAAAAAGCACAGCGGGAATGAAGAAAAAAGCTGAGAATGTCACCTCACTGGATAACTGTTTTTCTAACGGTGGGGGGAATTATAGCACAGAAACAGTTAACCAAACAGCCTCCCGCATATATCAGATTGACCTCTGTGTTACTGTATTTAAACTAAATTTGCATTTACTGAAAGAAAAACAGAGATTACAAGACAGAAAATACCATAAAATAATATTTGTAAGAAATCACAGAATTCAAATGTAATTAAATGAAAGAAAGAAAGAAAGAAAGAAAGAAAGAAAGAAAGAAAGAAAGAAAGAAAGAAAAAGAACAGGAAGGAGGAGAAAAAGAAAGAGAAAGGAAGGATGAGAAGAGAAGAGGGAAAAATAAAGAAAAAAGAAGAGACAGAATGTAAAGAAGGAAGGAAATAAGAAAAAGAGACAGAAATAGGAAAGAAAAGAAGGGAAGTAGATAGAAAGGATGGAAGAAGTAGAAGAAAGAAAGGAAGAAAGGAACAGAAGAAAGAAAACGAGAAAGAAAAGAAGGACAAATAAAAAAAATAAAAGAAAGAAGGAATTCATGACGAAAAAGAGAAAATAGAAGGAACAAAAAGAAAGAAAGAAAAAGAAAAAGATAAAAAGATACAAAAGAAACACAGAAGAAAAAGAAATGAAGGAAGGAAGGAAAGAAGGAAAGAAGAAAAAGAGAAAAAGAAAGAAAGAGCTCTTTAAATAAGCTTAGCCAATCAGGTGAGTGTTTTACTTTTTTGTAACTTAGGGGGAATAAGATGAAAGTCTGGAGGTCAGACAGGCTGCACTGATTCAATACATATTAAATATATAAGTCCCGGGGAATACATTGGAATTATGTTCTCTAACTCCAGGTCCTTTGAGGGTTCTACCACAGTGACAGTCTAGAGCCCATTTTTCTGAGAAAGTGTTCACCAGGAGTTGCAACCACGCACACACACACACACACACACACACACACACACACTCTATGCCGCTCATCCTCCTTGGTCACAGGGACGGCATAAATAAAGCAAGTAAATTCAACTTTTTCAGCATGACTTGTTTTGAGAGCAGAGAAGCTGAAGGTGTTTCATATGCGGAGAGAAGCACATGATGGAAATTCATTTTTATTTATTGTGAGTTAATGTCCTGTCAGGGTTTGGCCTTTGACCTCTGATTGCAGTGCTGTTTTGTTGTGTTTAGTGGTTACTGAGTACTGAGAGGTTAAAGGGCAGCGTAAGTACACACACTGATGAAGTAACGGGTCATTTATCAGAGTGCCTCTCTCCCTCTGTCTCTCTCTCTCTTTAAAACTGTCTCTCAGTGTCTCTTGACCACAGACAGTAGGCTGGACTGAGAGGAGCAGATGTGAGGAACACTGCCTCTCTCTCTCTCTCTCTCTCTCACTCTCTCTCCTCAACCTCATTGCAGTAGTCCATTGTCATTAATTTGTTGTTGGGGGAGGCTCAGGCCCCTCCCCCTCACACCACCCACCATTACTTAGTAAAACACATACATACATAGGATGTCTGGTATATAGTATATGGCCAAAAGTATCATTCTGTCATCATCCTAATCATTGAGTGCAGGTGTTTCAGCCACACCCATTGCTAACAGGTGTTTGAAATCAAGCACATATTCATGCAGACTCCTTAGACAAACACTGACCGTAGAATGGGTCATACTAAAGAGCTCAGTGACTTTTAATTTGCCACTGTCATAGAATACTCCCTTTGCCATAAGTTAGCTTGTGAAGCCTGTGCCTTGTTAGATCTTCCCCAGCCAACTGGGGGGAGCTGTCAGTAGTCTACAGGAGTAACTTTCTACAGACAGGTGACAAAGATAAAAACCAACATGAAGTGTCTTAAGCCCTAATGGAGCTGGATTAGCTGTGGAAGTGATATGATTTGAGTGATTACTGATTTCAATCCACTGTGAATCTGCAATGTCCTTTTTTACAAGTCTGCTAAATGATCATTGCAATGCGAATTACCTTCTTTCATTCACCCTGAGATCTTCCTTAATAACAGTAGACCTGTTTGAATCAAGCTTACAGTAATGTAATACACAGCATTCCTGGCAACCTGGAGACAAAACTAACCACTAAAAAAGGCAGAATCTTAATCTGAACAATCTAAACTACTCTTGGAATAATTATAATGTAACTTTTAAATCACACATTAATTATATTACAAGGAATATAGCAGGGGAGAGACCCCAGCAGACCATACTTTTGTGTTTAATTGTAATGCATTGCTCACAGAACATTCTACAAGCACAACAAACAAACTACAGCTGCAGCAGCAAGAATATTAAAAATTTACTAAAAAACAAGATCACATTAGAGCAGTTTTAGCCTCGCTCCACCAGCTGCCTCTTTGAGTGTAACATTCTATTACTAGTTTTTAAATCTCAGCACTTCCATACATCTCTGAATGCCAACAAACTCTGTTCTAAATCGTGCCTTAGAATCATCCAATGCTGCTTCTTTATATTCCACTCATGAAACCTAAACAGAGTACCGCGTAAGTACCTTCTTAAAGTTCTTCTTACAGTTCACTGAGATTTCTGTCCTGTTGGGTGGTATTTGTTAATTTGATCCCATGTTACTAGCCCAATGCTATCCAATCCGCCATTAACTGGAGGTTTTTGTTGTCTGTTTGGATGCCTTTATTTTTATTCTTAGCGCTGATGTAAAAGTCCAGGTTATGATGTGGGGTTATTTACACAGATACTTTACACTGTAGGAATTGACCAGTCAAATCCCAGCAAATGACATTACTAGACCACAGATAAAACCAATCCAGCTCCAGTTAGGATCATAAGATGTTGGGCCACCACATGTAATTTTTGACCATTTAAATAAACTCAGGCAAACTAAATCAACACTGAATCATGCTGTGTGTTTTATTGGTTAATTAACAGAGATAAAAATCTGATTATCACGCACACATGAGCGCACGTTCACATAAATATATACATAGAAAAGTAAAAACTAAATCAGACAATTATCACAGCACTGTAATAATAATAATAATAATAATAATAATAATAAAAATAAAGGTGAAAATAATATTGCAGCTCTCAGCACAGAAACCAATAAACACACACACACACACACACACACACACACACACACACACACACTCAGCTAAATAAATAATTACAATAAGTTACAGAAAAAACAATTTTTGTGAGCAGCCAGCATAATAATTAAAGACATCTTAATATGCAAATGTGCAAGATTGTAAATATGTAAATCCAAGATTGTAAATATTGTAAATCCTCACTGTCATAACAAAATGTTGAGATTTTTTTTGTTGAGTTTTTTTTCCAAAGTAATTTGTATCCATTTCTTTTGTAAAAGACAGCTGGAGGTTTACAATGATGTGGGGAAAAAAAAAAACAGAAAAAAGTGAAGAGATACGTTTTTTGTTCCGACAGCAGTAATATGTGAATATGTGAATATTGCTGCTGTTAAACAGGCAGACAGTGAGGACAGAGACTGACCCATCATCAGTGAGATTCCACAGTCACTACACTCACTGTGTGTGTGTTATGGTCGGTGTTTGTGGGCAAGTGTGTCTTCTGTTCCTGCTGGACTCTCCCACACTGACCACTCTGTACACAGAAACATACCATAAATCAGATAAATCACAAAAAAACTGTATCGACTGTATCAGGGAGAAAAAACACAAAGCACAAAAAGATGAACAATAAACAAACAAACATACACAAACAAACAAAAAGAAACAAACAACATACACAGCAAACGTATGTATAACTACATATATATTACTATATGTATAACTACTATATATATATATATATATATATATATATATATATATATATATATATAGTTAGTAACTGTGTTTTAAACCTTATATGATGTGTATGTTGTAGTTATGCTGTCTTACTCTCATGTTTCTTCATGTGATGCTGTATCAACCATGTTATTATCCAGGTTATTAACCTATTATCAATCCTGTAAAGATCCCTGTTTTTTTATTCTGTCATTATTAATCCTGTTATTAACTTTGTTCTAAAACTGTTATGCATGTGTTGTGTAGTTATGATGTCCTACTCTTGTGATTCTTCATATGCTGCTTATTAACCCTGTTATTAACTCTATTAAGACCCTGTTATGACCTGTATGTTTTAGTTATATCTTACTCTCATGGTTCTTCATGTGCTTCTGTAGCTCTTCTGCTCCAGAACACACGCAGCCACACACTGCGCAGGACAGCAGTTTGTCTTTGGCGTGTGTGCGGCGGACATGGCTGTCATGTGCAGCATGTGAGGCAAAGGCTTTGCCGCAGTGACTGCACTTAAACGGCCGCTCGCCCGAGTGCTGCCGGATGTGAGTGCGCAGGATACTGGACGCTGTGAATGCCTAAAACAACAAAAACCATAACAACATTAGTCAATATAATTACAGATTTTTGTCTTTTTGCTGTGAAATGAGCCAATCTTGAAAAAAATAGACTTTTTTGGGACAAAAATGAGCTAAAGAGACTGTAAACTGTAAGATTAAAATCTTCACTCTTATGCAGTACTGTGCAAATGTAAGAGATCCCCTTTATTTATGTAATTGCCAGTCAAAATGGCTAATAAGTACAACTTTTCCATTTTTTAGGAGATGATTCTGAGGAGATTATATATAATGTAACCCACATGCACAAGGAAGGAGAACGTCAAAGGAAACCAAGTGAAAAAACAGGAGAACTGTGGCTTTGTTGTTGCGGCATCTGTGTAATTTTCTGTTCAAACACTAAAAAATGTACTTGTACTTAATGGCTGTTTCAAGTGTATAAAAGAAGGGTGTTCGCCGACTTTTGCACGGTAATGTAACTGTACAGAACTTACATGAGTATCATATTTTATAATTACTGAGCAATAATAATCATGTAGTTTAAAGAGGTAAGAGGTCCATTGTTTACTCTAATGCTTTTCATACTAGTTTCATATTCAGTTTAAAATGTAGAATATATATCGGTATAAATGATTGTGCTTTCTGATCGCCATCTGTAACAGGCAGGCATCACTGCTACAGCCTAAAGTGTCTGACAGTTGAGTTTGAACTCCAGAGGAAACAGCAGAAAGTCACAGATTCTCTCTTTATGAGCAGGACAAAGCTCCAGCAGCACTTTTGTTCCTCCATGGGCCATAAATTAAAGACGTAATCCCCCCCGAACAAAGGGGCCGGAGGGGCATCTGCCATTAATTAGCATGTAAGTGCAGTGTGATGAGCTTTAGAGTGTTAAGGAACCGGAGCTCCTCCCTCACCTTACTGCAGTACACACACTTATACGGCCGCTCCCCCGAGTGGACACGCATGTGTTTGTTGAGACTGGACGACTGAGAGAAACTTTTACCGCACACCGAGCACTGAGGACCAGAGAAAAAGAAAAACATATCAACATCATCAACATCATCATCATCACCATCATTATTATTATTATTCTACAGTATAATAATAAATCACTATGTACCTACATTTAAATAAATATCAATGATATGTTTTTTTTTTTGTACAAGACACAATCTGTCTTAATGAGAAGAAGCATGTCACTTAATTTTCCTTAAAAGCAGCATTAACCTCAGCACACAGATTATAGTGCGTTATAGTGTATCATTATGTATTATAATGTTGATTTCACAGAGGTCAGTGTGTACCTTGTGCGGCCGGTGTTTCTCGTGGACATGGAGGATGTGAATTCTGAGACGGTCTCTCTTTTCGAATGACCGGCTGCAGAGGTTACAGGGGAAGCTGCGGTCACCGCGGTCCACACAGCGTGTGTACTTTAGGTGTTTATCTCTGTAATACCTGTATGCAAACACCTTCCCACAGCGGTCACACCTGTAGCCCTCTGCTGAGTCTGTAATCAGTAATAAGAATGGTCAGTTTAGCTTTAGACTGGTCAGTTTAGCTTCAGCTCAGTCAGTTTAGCTGTAGACTGTTCAATTTAGTTTTAGTTTTTCTAGTTAGTTTAGCTTTAAACTGGACTGGTCAGTTTACCTTTATAATGGTCAGTTTAGCTTTAAAATAGTCATTTTACCTTTATAATGGCCAATTTGGCTTTAGTTTGGTCATTTACCCTTAAACTGGTTGGTTAGGCTTAAACTGGTCAGTTTACCTTTATAATGGTCATTTTAGCTTTAGACTGGTCAATTTACCTTCAGAAGGGTCAGTTTAGCTTTAGTTTGCTCAGTTTAGCTTTACACTGGTCAGTTTAACTTAGACTAGCTTTAGTCAATTTACTTTTGGAAAGGTCAGATTAGCTTTAGATGGGCAGTTTTACAGCACTCAATTCAGCAAAGACTGTTTAATTAATAAAAACATTATGTGTTTCACATCCTTACCCTCTGCTGGCATTATCACTTCGGTGTCCTCTCCGAACTCTTTTAGAGTCAGTGGAATGCCAAGGAACTGGATGTAAGCGTCTCCGTACCAGACGAGCAGCTCCTGTCCAGGCATCACCTCCCTGCAGGCCTCATAATAGATCTGACCTTTGACCTGCAGGGCCACCAGGTTCTGCTCCTCAGGGAACCGAGCGCACTGGACCAAACGCATCCAGTGACCACGCGCCCCACGACCGTCCACAAAGTGACTCAGCCGGCCATGCTCGAAAATCTGAACACAAACATGTTTATACATAAATCTTAATCAGTGAAAAGAGCAACTGTACAGTTTTATAATACCATCATAATAACACATATTACTTTTATAGCACCTTTTAAACATGTGTACAAAATATAAAGAATCTTTATAGACATTTTAACACATATAAAGTGACCCTATCCAGCATTATTCACAAGCACACTATCCGGCAGTTCAGGTAAGATAATTTCACTTCAGAAAATTCCGTAAAACAATTAAAAATGTCTTTATTTTCCCACTCTGGTGAACACACCACACTGCATCCTTGGGCTAGACTCTCAACTCTACATTCACCTGCATTTGTAACATGATTAAAGTGTAAGACGGCCAAATACATAGATATAAATGTATAAATAGATTGAATAATCTTACGATATACTTATAACTGTGTTGTACTGAGAAACATTGGATGTATTAAATACATTTATGATGATTTCACATGACAGGAAAAAAGATAATATTTTACAGTATGTAAATGAAGTGAGTAATAAATAAGGTAATAAAACATAGTGCATACCTCCCACATGAGCGTGTTGTCATCGTGTGTTTTGATTTCACTGGTGTTGACGAGTTTCCCTTTGAAGGGTCCGAACCGCCGACCTTTAGGAACTGAACTTTTACTCACAAACACCCCCAAACGGGATGTGCTCCCACAGCTTGACTGCTGCACCAGCAAACCTGAACACAAAGACACGCATCAGCACTCAACTCTTATTATTATTATTATTATTATTATTGTTATTATTATTATTATTATTATTATTATTATTATAAAATAATCCTAAAATACAGACCTTCAGGAAGCTCCAGACCTTCAGTATCAACATCAGCGACATCACATACTGTAATAAAGCATTTAAAAATAATGTGGGAATGAATGACACATAATAAAGCTGTAATAAGACTAAACACTCCTCGCTATCATAACTCTATTAATACTCTCTATACTTACACTAAAAAGTGAACTTTGATTCAAATGTGTATATCATTTGCATGTGAATAGAACATACTGAAGGACAGTAGTAAACTGAAGGACAGTTGTTATGTTGATGTAGTTCATTTCTGTAGACATCTAGTCAATTCAATGGACTCTTGATTCAGTATTGGTGGTATAGTATTTATTTAATAATTAGATTAAAGCAGGGCTGCCGAAAGTGGGGTCTGTGAGACAAAGTTGACCCAGAATGACATTTGATTTGACCCCCATCACCCCAAGACAACCCCTCAGTTTAGGCACCCCTAGGTTAAAGGGTTAAACTAAGCCAGTTTTGTTCTAACATTTATATCAGCATAACACTGCTACATAATATGACATGTCATAACAGAATGTTCAGTAATATAACAGTCAGGTAACCATTACCATTAATTGTAATGACATGTTTGATGTTATAACAGCTTATGTCACAAGATAAGTGTACTCGAGTTAGCCATCATAACATTAAACATCATCATATCTGCCAAAACAATTAATAGTAATGATAGCACAACACTGTTATATCACAGCATATGACTTAACATATTTGTCATGACATTTTTACAGCATAGTTTTGTTCATGTTAAGCAGGGTTCAGGTAAGGGGTTACTCATATTAGTTACATAGTAATTACTGTATAATAAGTTGTCAAAATAATAATCTATATGAGAAAGAACAAGAAGCATAATAAAATATATATAGTACTTTGAAAAAGTTTTAGGCACCTGAGAAAATATATTTAAAGCTGTGTATCTGGTCATTAAGTGTTTGATTGCTCAGAAAAAAACAGCCTAATATTAGAACAAATATAAGCAAAACAAAGCAGTTCAATCTAACTGAGTCACTCATAAGAGTGAAGTACAGACTTCTGGACCTTTAATAGGGTTTAATGTTATGTACCATAATGCATGAAGCAGGTGCTGAAGGTGCTGGGTTACCTGAGTTGGACAAAGTCAGTGTGGAGATTCTTTTATTTTGGTGCTTGGAGTAGCCATAGAGCACAGTGAACAGGTCCTCCTGGGTGAAGCTGTAGGTATGTGAAGGTTCTGGAGTATGTTTAACTGGAGAAGATGAAGTAGAGGAGGAGGAGGAAGAAGATTTCTCTGCAGATAGACTGCTGAAAGGCCAGGCGGGGTCAGGTACGCTCTGTAATGACTCGTCAGGCTGAGTCTGGACTGTCTGTCTAATGTACGGCAGGCCGGACAGACCGAAGGCTGGCTCCTGGATGGCCGGACGTGAGGAGTTCTGGTTGAAGAATGGCGATACTCCACTGAAAGGGAACGGCATCAGCGGAGGGGCATCTGAGAGCAGCCGGCCGAGCGGGTGGAGAGGGGGATGCAGGGGAGCGTGGGTGTTCTTCAGGAGGCTCATGTAGTTTGGACCGGGCAGAGGGCAGTAAGAGGAGAGTCCAGAGGCAGAGCCCGCTTTAAACATCCCGCGGTCCCTCTCCATGGGGTCAGAACTGCAAACAGACAGCAGCATACCAGCAGGCATGGAGGAGGAACCCAAGAGGAACAGAGAACTTCAACAGACTGGAGAACGCTCTGGATTCTGAGGAAAATAAAAAAGTTAAGACTTTTGTTCTATTACAGCAGCTGTGATGAAACACAAATGATCATTATACACACACATACACACACACACACACACATAAATATATATATATATATATATTTGTACACATATAATGTAAATTAAAAATATAAATATATTATATTTAATGTAAATTATAGAAACTTTATAAGCTAATTAGAAGCCACATCTGCACCTAGGACTGTAGTTTTCTCTGAGAAGATAAATGTGCTAAAAAGGGTTTTCTACTGCTACTGTAAATGGGATGTTAGAGTGAAGAACCTGTTAAAGGTGTAAAGAACCTCCACACAATTTTCCTACAGTCTAGAGCCATTTAGGAACCTTTATTTTTCTTTCTAAAATTCATTTTTTTGTCTTAAAATGAAACTATCTATCTATCTATCTATCTATCTATCTATCTTGTATAAGTGCTGTGAAATGGTAAAAAAAAAACAAAAAACACCGCTGGTCAGTTTTCCTGTTCTGTTGATGTATTAAGTGATCTACATTTATATTAAACGACAGCGCGTGACCACCTGAACAGTAAACAGTAAACAGGAGTTGATGACGTTTCTGGTTTTGCTCTCTCTCTCCGCGTGATGATTAGCTCGCGCGCCGGGCTGGTCACTCTCAGCGCTGAGACGCTCAGATCAGAGTCCAGATTAACTCGTTGTTTAACGGCCGCTTTTAAACTTCAGCTCTGCTCTTAAACACACTATACAAGTATGGCATTTACTGTATATCTGCTGTATATTGTATGCGCGCTCCTGGTAAAATGATGTGCTCTGTTGATTTTGAAGTGAAAATAAATGAACACATCCTGTATAGAGAACACACTTCTGCACATTTCATACACTATTACTGTTTATTTACTGAATTTAACACATTGGGACAACATGTTTAGTATTTCTATCAACATTTATACTGTATTTACAAAGAGAGCTTAAGTTTAAAGCGGCCGTTGAGCAGCGAGTGACCGACAGAGCGCGCGCAGAATGACGGGGTGTCACCGGTCATTAAAGGTCATTAAAGGCCATTAATCTGATCTGATCTGAGGATATCAGCGCTGAGAGTGACCAGCACGGCGCGCGAGCTCATCATCACACATAATGTAGGTTTTCTTAATCATTTCAAAATCGTGCCATAAAGTTCTGAGAGATCAAATCATCTGAAACATTTCAGTTCAGAGCGGAACCGCAGTCTCTCTCTCCGCCCGCGACTCGGAGTCGCCGTCTGTACTTCAGTGTTTATTTCTGTGAAATTGTGTAATTTTATAGTAGCGGTCTTTATGGAGATCAGAGGGTCAGCTGGTCACTCTAAAGGTCATCATTAATGAAGCAGAACACACTCTTCAGCCTTTACTGACCGCCACACTCCATAAAACACATAACACACACAGGCTCACTCACACTCTGTGTGTTTTAATTATACAAATATACTGACTGAATTAATGTTAAGTTCGTTAAGCCTCCAACACGAAATTCATCATCTGAGTTTCACATTCTGTTCACTTACAATCATAAAATTAAAAATCTGTTTGTTTTTTGTTTTTGCTTCCTATCGAATTTAACAATATTGAATAATTTATCAGTCTTTACAGTGAAAACTGAATAATCGATCAGTTCCTCTTTAAAGATCCTTAAAAAACCTATTTTACATTCAGTTATGTGCATCACATTTAATTTAATGAAACCAAAACTTTAGAATAAACATTATATATCACATATAAATACTGATGCTGTTTGTAATATATTTTTATTTTTTTTAGATTTCAGCAAGAATAAAATCTTTCATCAATTCAATCACTGTCAGTTTACCTACTTTCAATATAAACAATTTATTTTATTTTTATTATTGTACAGATGACGCACAGGTTCCAGTCAAGTCACTTAAACACAATATTTAAATCTCTATAAAACATAGAGAGGAAATGACAGCCTGTATTTACTATACAATTAACAAAGAAATTAATTTTAAAAAAGTTTCTTTGTTAATTCAGTTCAGTTCAACCTAGAAACAAAGGGTAAACAAGCGGTTTACCTGGATCAACTTAAATACTGTAAATCAAAAAATTAAATGAAAAAACATTTTACATCAATAAAAACTCCGCTGTTTAAAGTAACTCCACACTTCATTACATATCTGTATCGTTTTAAACGGCTCAAATTACATACAAATACAGAGAACCCTGTACTATATACACTCTCAGTAAAGAGGGTTCTAGGTTCTTTGGCTTCTAACGCGATCAGAAAGGTCCTTCAAAAATATTGTAGAGAGCAGAGGCACTGAACGACAGAACCATTTATACAGTCAAAAGTGTTCGCCGTTCTATACAGAACCAGTGCCTTTAGAACCCGTGAAGAACCATTTTTGGGTGTGTATGACACCGTATGACACTTTACACATCTGTAAAGGTTTTTAGCCAAAACTCCAGATGAACAGACAGTTTACCTCCATTTATAAATGACTAATTGTATTGTATTGTTATTTATGTAGAAATGATGATTAAAGTAAAATAAATGCAGCAGTTGTTATAGTACATTTATAATATATGTGTATGTAATTAAAGAACTGAATATTTTTAAATTTCAAAAGCGTGAGTGTCATTTCTCTGAGAATTTAAAGAAGAGTGTGTTTAAACTCACCGGAGAGAATCAGCAGCTCCTCACACACACAGACACACACTCAGTCACAGATCTACTGCAGCCGGAGAGCGTGTGAGAGAAGTGTGTGCTGGACTGTGATGGGGCGGGGCTAACGCAGCCTGAGCTCCTATTGGCTCATCAGCACGTGCTCCACCATCAACACCAATACCACCTTCATCATCACCACCACCATCATCACAAAGTAAACCAACATACTCCGCCAATTAACATCTAAATATAAGTGCAATCTGTAATGTAAATAAAAACACGATAGTAATTTTCATTACAGATTTCATCATATATTCATCTAAATAAAGAACCGCGATTATAATAACAGTGTAATAAATACAGCATTTACATGTATACTGTTAATATTATTACAATCACTATTATAATAAGATGGTGTGCCATTTATTACATTTTTATTTATAACTTTTTTCTAATTTTTTATTTTGTGAATATTCCTAGAATATATTTACTGATTCAGTTGCTTAAAAACGAATTGATCTGAATAATAATTTGATATATTAACTTTTAAACGGCGTTAAAATAAACCCGTTACATATTTCGTTTCGTAGAAAATAACTAACACATTTATATTAAAAAAAGTTGTTTGTTCGTTTCAGTTTCATTTCATTCGTTTAACAAAACAATAATTAAACCTAAAAACAGATTTAAACTGATTTTTCACAGAAGAAACTTCAAATCTGTGAAAAAAAATAAGAGATCACGCACTCTCAGACTCACTATCATTAAAAGCCAGTTTAAAAAATTATAAAGAATAATTTAAGACCGCCACTACAATAAGTGATTACATATAATTATCTTCATTTTCAAAATTTTGATTACGTAAAAAATTGGGAAATAAACTAAATCATAAAACAAACATAACACAAATAGCGCTACAAAACCATTTACTGACCCATTTAAAGTTCGTAAAATAAATGTTTATGAAAATAGAACACACAAAATAGAGCTAAATAAAAAAAAGATTTATAAACAGCTGGGACAATATGTTTTATAAATCATATTTTTCAAAAATGATTAATTTTAGAGCAATAACATAAACCCTAATAAAACTTCGTAAAATAATTAATATTCAGAACAAATTGTGTAAAAAGGTGCAGCTGCCCAATCTACGCCACACCTAATTATTACTATTGCTTTTATCACTGCTACTATTATTACTATTATTTTTATTTCCATTATCATTCCTGTATTATTACAATCGCTAACTTCATCATTACTATCTTTCCTGTTACTTTTATTGCTAATTAATGCTATTATTATTATTATTATTACTACAATCTGAGTGAGTGCGCTCCTCTGAACGCTGTAATCATTCTTCAGCTTTTTAGTCTCTTAATGTCTCGAGACTGTGTGTATGCGTGTCCGATGGAGTGAAAGCAGGAAATGACAATTATACACAACCGTTAATTAAATACAGAACGATACACGCACGTGTCCACGCGCACTCACATTCTCTCTCTCACACACACACACACACACACAGTGCTGCAGGTGAACAGATGATATTTAATGTGAACAACACAACTGGAAAAATAATATTAATATTAATAATAGTAATAATAATAATAATACATCTCAAAGCGCAACACTGTAAGCTTCCTCCAGAAAATTCATATAAATTACAATATTGCTTCAGTTTCATCATTATCAATTAATACAATAAACACCTGTACAGACCAGAAAGATAGAGAGAAATGAAAGAGCAATACAGAGAGAGAGAGAGAGAGAGAGAGAGAGAGAGAGAGAGAGAGAGAGAGAGAGAGAGAAAAGAAACAAATGAGATACCAAAAGAGAGATCCAGAGAGATAGAGAGAGAGAAAGGAGAGAAACAAAGATACAGAGAATAAAAAGAGAAAGAGATGAAAAGAGAGGGGGAGATCCAGAGAGAGAGAGAGAGATTCAGAGAAAGAGAGAGACAAATGAGATACAGAAAGAGAGATGATACACAGACAAATACAGAGAGAAGGAGAGAGGAGAGAAATAAAAGATACAGAGAATAAAAGAGTAAGAGATGCAAAGAGAGGGAGAGATCCAGAGAGAGGGCGAGAGAGAGAAAGAGAGAGAATGAAATAGAAAAAAGCGAAAAAGGAAAGAGTCGCGGTGATGAAACTCGTTCATTTCTGTGATTCACTTTACAAATATAATACATACACGTTTTGTAGCTCATATACAGGACATTAGAACATTAGAACAGATCTAAGGCAGTTTGCTAAAATTCAGCATTTCAGGTTCTTGCATTTTTAGCTC